TTTGCATTGTTTTACATAATGTTGGATTAAGAAACTTCATTTCTTTATACGCTTCAAGCTCCTGAACAAGAGAGTAATGCATCTTAGCATTTATATTTATATAAAAAGAAGTTCATAGAGATATAGAGAGAACCTGCTCCAATAAGATGCCAAAAGTTTCTTTTGACATATTAATAGAAGACATCAGAGAATATATAGTTGGAATCCTATGTGCAGCTTCAGGGTCTTTTATCTGTTTACATTGTATCTGCAAACAAAAGAAATAAGATAGTAAACAAGATGTAGAGTAATATATCAAACTTCAAAGGACATTTTTGTTACTCACCTTCACCCACTGTTTAATCAGTGCTACAGGTGTCGGAATCTGGTCAAACAAGCTTTGACCAACAGACCAACTTCCAAGAAAATCCATGAAAATCTTACTTATCTTGTTGCTACCACACTGATAAAGTATGTCCAACAAAAAAGCACTTTTTGCACATGCCTCTGTTACAAAACCAACTATGGTATCCTCTGTCATATCACTGGAAAACCCATCTCTACTTGAAGTAAACGTCTTGCAAAAGTGTAATACACAATTCCACGCTGCTTTACAACATACTTTGAATGATTTTGTAGCCTACAAACAAAACACATTCATCAAAAAGACAAACAACATGATATGTAACTGTGGTTGTAGACTTGTAGTATACAAAAAGTAAATGTACATTATGTGATTGATACCTCTTTTAATCTATTGCTTCTGTACAACACTATACCAACATTGTGTAGAGTGGCAAAGAGATATTGCAATCCATTAACTTTGACCCAATCTGCTGAAATAAGATGCTTAAGAAATTTAGTGCTCTCCTGCAATGGATAAAGACAAACATATGCAATCATCATTCATCAAGAAGACAAACAAGATAATATGTAAAAATGTGATGCTTTAAAAAAACAAACCTTGACATTTTTCTGTGTAGCAAATGAGAGTGTGAAAGAAGCTGCAGCTACAGCTAGTACAGTTCGCCTGTTGTCCTCATATACATCTCGTTCCTTTTCAGATGCCCTGCATTCATAAGTTTAAGAAAATAAGTTTTTTAATTGTTTAATCGGCATGTAAAAATGAATTGCATTAAAAAAATATATCATTAGACTTACCGATAAGTGAGAAAAACAAGTCCAAACTGATGGAAGGCATCTTGAATGTTAGGTAGCTTAATAGAAAAAGAGACATCTTCAAGTCCACAAAGTATATCTTTACGTTCAGAGATTATCAGCTCCGAAAGTGGCCCACACAAGAATTTTAATGCAGTAAAGTACAAGGGCACATAGGTCATTTGTGTTAATAATCCATCCGTGGTGGTTAAAGTTTGCAGCTGATCCTCCACTTTAAGCAAAATGTTGAGGATAGAAATGTCCTTTCCAGATTTTGATATCTTGGTGTTGCCCCCATTTGTGTAAGAATTCAAGTCGCTCATAAACAATGTGATAGCATAAAGCCTCATTATCAAATCAACTGGTGATAGATTGACCTACAAACAAACTGTTACTAAAACTGGAAAACATAAAAGTTACATGTTCAAGTATAAAAAGACATGTTAACAAGTACCTGAGAAAATTCAGTTGTTAGTTTGTCGAAGTGAGTTGCAACTGCATTACAAAAATCAACATTTGCATTTCGACATTTGATTGCACAATATTCTGCAAGTTCCAAAAACTCTACATGGGACTTTTCCTTGCCATTCTGCCAATCATAATTATAACAAATAAAGCAAACTCCTATTTACTGCATATAGATTATAATGATATAACCTTGGTCATTATATTATTGGTAACTTATGTTTTCATAAAGGCCCAATAGATAGATACTTTCTTTTTGTTTTAGGTAGTTTCTTGTTTTAAGGAGGTTTTCTAGGCATGTGCCCTTCTGCACCACTTGTAAGTTGCTTATTGCATCGTAGAATAGGCAAATTCTCTTTTTTAAGAAAGCATTGACTCAGATGGGCTAAAAGAATGAAGCAAATTTTGCATATCAAAGTCCAGCTTCTTCTTTTATGTTCAATTAATATTAAGTTAATCTTGCATTGTTCAAACCTAACATACTCTAGAGTTTCTTTATCCCAGTAAAATGGCACAGTGAAGCAAACACAACAAATTGTTAGAAGATTACCTTGAATTCATGAGCCATAGCATCCAACACACAAGTTAGTATGTCTACACTGCACAAAAAATTATCATCCAGCTGAGAAAAAACTGAACTGCATATCCTATGTCCAAACTGCAAAGAGAATACATAATATAAGAAATAAAACCAATTAAACTTCATTAGGATATCAGTGAGGTGGATGCTAAAAATGGCATCTCACCTTTTCCATCTGATCATTCATGGACGATTTTCTAAGCTCTGAAAATGTTAAAACACAAAATCTATGGACAAGGCTCCCATCAAAGCTTGCAAGTTCTCCAACCAGAAACAATGTACATTTATTCAGATATGTCACAAGCATTTTTTGCAGCTTCTCGTATGCATCCACATCAACAACCCTGTCATGTTTACAACCTAACATTTCAGATAAAATTCCTACAGTTGATGCACTCAGATACAAGGCATTGTGTCTGCACATCCTAGTATGGCTTTAAGCAAGGAATCGTGTACTAGCTGCTAAATACATGAAAGAATGACTTCAAGATTACTTCAATTCTTTGGTGTTATTGAAAGATGATTGCTGTCCAATTCAGTGGTGATGAAATCATCGCAATAGCATGCTGACAACTATCCATGATCTAATTATAGACATTAAAATTGCAAGTATGCACTATACCTGAGCCATGGTTGGATTTCATCGACCATAGAAAGTAGTCTACGATAATCTTCCTCATCTTTGCTTCTACCATTTGAAACACATTTAATAAGGGTCACAGCTACTTCCAGGATCAACATTGCAACCTCCTTGTCACAATTCTCGTTTCTTAATTCCGGGATAACCCCTCGCTTCAACTTTACACTTCCTTTATCCGATAATTTCCCAATAAACTCGAACACAGAAAACCCTTCATTTTGTGCATCTTCATATCTCCCCCAATTTTCATAACAATGTATCAACCGAACCCGCTGGATCTGAACGGAATGGGGTTTACACGACAGCTCCGAGGAAACAGATTCCAAACAACGCAGACAAAGCTTATACGCTTCAAACAGTTCGGATGCGTAACAAGAATCGATTTTGGGGGTTTCATTTAGGCGTTTCGGGATTAAAGATAGAGATTTGCTAAGGAAGGAAAGGAACTTCTTGGCGAGCGAACGGATGATAGTTGATGTTTCCGTATTAGTTTTTGAAGATTTGGACTGTTTATTGGGTTTATTGATGATGGCTGAGAAGGGGTGGAGGTAAAGAGAGAATAATTGGTGGATGGAGGAGAGATCAGATGACGATTGGAGCTTGGAGAGGAGTGAAGCTTCTGTGCTGGTGGCGGAATCCTCCATTCGCGTGTGAGATAGAGCGGGAAGTGTGTGGAGGCTTGAGGAAGAAGGAGATGTGTTCAAGGAGGCGGGAAACGAACAGTGAGTTTTGAAGTGGCGAAAGTGAAATACTTGGTCCCAACAAAGGCTTGTAAATTATGAACGAATTACAAAAGTAGTCCCTCTTTAGCCTTTAACATTTATATTTGTAATATTTTTGATTAATTTGATATAAAATATTAATGAATTAGGAAATTGTTTATCATATATATATATTGTTAACTTCTTGTATATGTCACTTTATTCTTATGGTGCTCCTCAATCTCAAATTATCCTTGCTTTCTCTCATTGTCCTTATTTCAGTTATAGAACCATAGTATATCAAGTAATCAAAAATACATGTCTCTTTGGTTGTCCATGTTACTCATTTATGCAATATATGATTACATATAATAGATAAAATTAATCAATTCTTGTTTTTTTGTCAAAAATATATTGGTTTAGGTTTTAGAACAGTGGTGGATGTTAGTGTAGCAATGGGTTCCCCGGCCACTGGTCAATTTCCGGCACGTAGTGTAAAAATAATTGTTTTCTTATTAGGTGCACCGGCTTAAAGTATGAGGGACAGTCCTACTAAAACAGTTTACGTCCGCCACTATTTTAAAATCTTATTATATCTAACACCTAGAAATTTTATTACAAATCGGTATGAAGACCTAGTCTATATTAAATGATGTTGTGTGACATACTCCATCTTTAGCAACATATTGATGTGAGGTTCCATGTAACTTGGACGTTAGCCCACATGTTGTTTAGCCTCCCATAGTCATATGAATCAAGATCTGTATCCTTTATATATAATAGTATTAATAAGCAATAAGCAATAAACATGGGAGGGATGCTTATTAAAATTAGCTTATTTAGCTTAATAAGCTGAATTTTATCCAAACACTCAAATTAACTTATTGTGGGAATAAGCAATAAGCACCTCTTTTTTTCCTATCCAAACACCCCCTTAGATTTGACCACTTTTAACGCTTAAGTTACAAAAATTTCACTTTCATACATGTAATACTCAAGTCTTATTCCAAATACCTTGTGGAATACTTTCAAGCATTTCTATAAATTCTATTTCTCATTTAGGTAATGCTTAAGTTACAAAAATTTCATTTTCATACATGTAATACTCAAGTCTTATTCCAAATACCTTGTGGAATACTTTCAAGCATTTCTATAAATTCTATTTCTCATTTAGGTAATGTACTTTGCCATCTTGTCATTTTAGACAATCCACTAATTATACCAAAACACATTGTGTAACATAGTTAATGTCTCAAACCATTTCATTCTAGAAGCATTTCAATCAATATTTTTCATTTAATGCTTTCTTTACCAATAGATGTCATAAACATTATCAAAAGTTGTCCATTATCACCCCATAGTACTAAATACATGTTACGGATCAATTCTTTGGGTCTCGAAATCCACTTGACGCTCTTTGATGTACACATCTCCTATGTTTCCTAATTTCCATGTTTGCATTGATATATTTCCTTGTTTACATTCCATTATCTGGCCACCAAACATATGTTACACAGATCCAATTTTATTAGTGAGAGTTCCCCATAGGAAGCTTGTAGCATAATTTTGTCTCAATGACATCAGTTTCAAACTAGTTAGATGTATATTACAATGTCTCAGTGAACATAAATCTAAATCTCAACCCCAATCCAATTCCCATTAAATGCATTACAAATAACCACTTGCGACTAAGCAAAGCTCTCAATTTGGTTGTCTTTGATTATAAGTGAAACCCACAACATCATACCATGAGAGGCATAAAACGAATAAAGCAATAAAGCCTATTTGTACATAATCATCATATGAGCAAACAACAAAACTTTGAAAAAGAAAGGATAAAAAAAAAAGCATATAGAGAGTAACTCAACAATGACTTAACATGGAACCCACACTAGAGAGTAAAGCAAACAGTAAATAACTCAACAACATTGTGAAGTGAAAGCCCAATAAGCCGAAAAGCACGTTGCATTTTTTTTTTCTCTCCCTGTGTTGAAAGTTTACTTCTTTCTTTCCTTTTTTTGGCGTTAAATCTGTACAACAAATGAATACAATTTGGTGACTATTCATTCTCTCTTACCTTCTTCTGCATCATGATCCTCTTCTAAATCAAACTCATCCACATTTTGACCATTCTTTTCTCGTCTTTCCTGGTTGACTAAGCTGATGTCACCTTTAGGTGTTCCACTGTAAAGTGCTTCACTTTCTTCTCCATCAGAATCCTCACCTTTTTCTTCTGAATATGCATATCTGTTCAACACTTTTCACATTAGCTCCTAACTATTTTCATATAATAATATTTGTAATGTACCTTTGAGAACTCAGTGATGGGGCCCACAGATAGCAGATAACACAAAGCAATGCAAATGCAAGAATGTCCCAAAATGCAGTGATAATCCACCCACTCTGCCATCTCTCATTGAAAGGATCCGTTGCTTTGAAGTAAACCTTCAACAACAAATCATTTATCAAAATCATAAACACTTTTATAATAATACACAAAAATAAAAATTTAACTATCTACAAGATACATACCTCATACCCGATCCAAACAACTGAAAGAACAACTGTAATTACTAATGCATTTGAGAACTTCCTATAAGTATCCAATTTAACAGAGCTCCTTTTCGCCTGTGGACCAATCAAAATTTACTATTAGTAAACTAGTCACCAATTATAGAAAACCAAAAATGTTACTTTTTTATTCAAAACTACGTCGTTTTGAAGCTTATATGCATAATAGCCACATACTCATTATCCCATATAAAAGAATAGCCACATACTAACCTGTAGCTGTGTAAGTGTCTTTGAAAGAGAAGTGAAAATCCACATGATCAAAAAGGCATCCAAAAGTGCATTAGGAAGGACAAGAATAACCCTAGCTCTTCCAGCTTTATCACTTATAGCTCCAACATACTCAGTAATATTCAACAACTCAGTTGACAAAAAGTAGGTTACCCCAAGAAGCATGACTTTTGTAGTAAGCCCACCAAGTGTAGGCCTCACAACACCATACCCCATAGAAACACACAGCATAAGCAACCTTGAAACACTTCTCCTTAAAGCTCCAACAGTCACAACCCATGTTGTAATCACAACTGGCCTTGTTCCAGTGTTATTAAAATACGCATAATCAAAGTACCAAAGTGTCATTTCAAACAACCCAACACCAACAATCACACTAATCCAATGTTGAAGTTGCAACACATCATCCCAAAACCTCACATATTGAGAAAACCAGGCTACACAAAGAAGAAGATAAGCAATTGCCATGATCACATAGAATTTCTTCAAAGGAGCCATTCTTCCAGGTAAGTATCCATCGGGGTTCTTCCATGAGGTTTGACCAGTCAATGTCATTCCTTTGAGAGTTGGGTCACATGATATGAAGAACAAGTTGTACATTCCGGTTTTTGTGATGTAAGCTTCTGTGGTTTTTAATTGTGCAGTTGTGGATTGTCCACGAAAGTAGACATTGACAGTTACAGGCCAATTGGGGTCTCTTTTAGATGGGATTCTGATGACTTCTCCTTGTTTGCAGCCTTCGATTTTAGATAAATCAGAGGTGCAACAAATGGATCTTTGTCCTCCGTATGCAGACCCACCAATGTTATCACGGTCTGCAGCCTCAAAGATTATAACTTGTACTAATCCGGTGCGACGTGCTGTTCTTGAATGATTGGATGAAGCTTCTTTAGTCCTATGAAATGTGATGTTTTGAAATCTGTATGTGTTTGACAAATTAAGATTCTGAGAGGGTTTAAGAATGTTCTAAATGCAAGAAACAGCAATTTACTTTCATTTATTTGTGTATTTCTGTTAAAGCATAGTATTTTCAATCTCTTTTTTCTTATTAAGGCATTGTAATTTGAGAAATCTGCCCAATGGTAGCTTATTTTGAATTATTTTTGTTATTAGATGTTATACTTAGAAAATCTATCCAGTTAGATAAGATGGTTTTCTAGATGGGTGTTTTGAATTTTAAACATCCTTTATTTGGAGTTACCCCGTTCATCCACAAAATATTTCAGTTCATAAGGCATCATGGTCTTTGATTTCCATAATATAACACCAATATTTCCATCTATTCTATAGAAGTGACAAGATATTGCCACATTTGATTACTATCATCTACAGTACAAACACCGAAGGTGGTATTGGTGTCATAAGTCCGTTTAATGTGATTATTTTCTTCCTGTGGTCACAAGGGAGTGAGGGAGAACTTAATTGCTTATAATTATACCATCAGATAAACATTTCTACCTATGATATACTCTAAAACTGTTCTTGATCTTCTTGTGCAAAGAGTTAGAAGCAATTTGGAATCAGTTTTGCAAATTTCACTATGAAACATACTAAAAGCGTCATATACTTTCGAAGTACTTGAGCAAATCTAAAATTTTGTCCAATGTTGCCACAGATCTGAGTTGCTATCAATCACAAACCGACACACGAATATACACAAACAGACATCGAGCAGATATGGAAATTGCTGTTCGATAGGGAAACAATATCATACCCGATATAGGAACGACCGTCATTGGCATTGGATGAGGGTATATGATGCGGGAGCGGAGTTGTGATGCGAGATGCGGCGAGACCTTCGCTACCCCCGGAGACAAGATAAGCATTGCCGACTTCTCGGAATGGATCTCGATCGTACACGTGGATTGAGGCGTCGGTGCAGTCGATCACCAATAAAACTAATGCTAGGAACAAATATAGCGTTGTGACGGTGATGAACCGGAGATTTGAAATGGCTACGAAACTCATGGAGGTTCACTCGAGGATTCTGGAGAGAGAAAAACGGGATCGGCGAATTTGGTGGGAGTAGTGCGTGTGTGTGTGAGAGAGAGAAAGGGAGATGGGAGTAAAGAGGGGGGGAGTGAAATCGAAGCTACAGCAACAAGCAACGAGCAACGACTGTCGATAGTGATTAAGAAGAGAGTCCAATTTCTCACGCGCCTGAAAATGGAACTTGGTAAGGTGGTAACGGTTACCCGAACTCGAACTTGAACCCGGACCCGGATCACCTTATCAATAGAAATGCCATTGATATACGACTTACAAATGAAATGTAATAAAAATAAATAAATACATAGAATACAATAAATGTGTTGTTTTACTAAAATACAAACATCATAGAAAATTACACCTGTAAATTTCTACTTTTATCCTTCATTCTTCACGTTTTAATTTTTAGTTTAAAATAATAATAATAATAATAATAATAGAAAATAAATTAGGTATGTAAATTCTCGATACGAACCGCGACACGACATAAAATAAATAGGTTTGGGTTGAGTTTTTCAACCCGTCAACCCATTTATTAACAGGTTATATATGAGTTTTTCAAAAAATATACGTGTTAGCCCGCCAACCCGTTTAGAAATTTTAATAAAAAAATTATATATTTTTTAAATGTATTAAATATTATACACTATATATTTTATAATTTATATTAGGATAAGATACTCAATATCATTGACCATTTGACCCGTGGATAACCATCTGTTGATTTGCATTGCAGCGCGTTTGGTGTTTACCCTAAATAATCTGAATATCCCACAAAAACAATGGCATGAACGATTGAATCATTATCAAACGACGTTGACGCATGCGATTTAATTTTTCTATGTTTGTATTAATGTTTTAGTTTGAACATGTTTCCATGAATGTTTATAATTTTCATTTGGATGTTTAAGACTGAAGTTTCTAAAATTCAGATATGTTTGCATCAAGAATTTATTCATGTTTAATTATCAGCTTTATTTATGGAATCTGACTCACAAATATATGAACCCAAATCTGACCCACAAATCCGTCAACCTGTGAACCTGTATAAATAAATGGGTTGACGGGTAACCCGTATAATTAAATGGGTTGTGTTTGAGTTAGTATATTTTGAAACAACAATCTGCCAACCCGCGACTTGCCAACCCAAACACGATACAATTGTCAGGCCTAAAAGAAATGATAAAAACGTTGCACCCTATATTAAGTATATTCATCATTGTTTAACTCCAAGCTATATGAATTTTATTAATTTAAAAATACAATTAATCTAGAAATGGGCTTATACATAATAAATAAGTTGATATTAAAAAAATATACAACAAAATTAAATATATGTCCATATAAAAACTAAGATAAAATATTGAACAATCACAATAGATATTTAAATAGACAAATGTCTGTTATTTTATGTAATGTTAGAATTTATATAATACTTTTAGGAGGTTACATCTTACAAAGCACAACCACGTTTAAATCTTAATAACCATAACGCATCTTCTCTGGATCAATGAAATATCGATAAAATATTATTTATTAAAAATCAAGTTGATTAAATTACACTTTGAAAGCCAGAATCAAACACCGACAACCAAAATCAAGTAACTAAGATTAGCAATTTCTTAACTAAAGGTCAATGGTGAGTTGATGACAATAGCAACTTAAGCGGTTGTGAGTCGGATAACGAAAACAACTTAAGCTATTGTGAGCCTAAATACTTGATGTATGCATGTATATGTATTGTGATATATGATATATTAAGGGAACTCACTAAGTCGAGTGCTTACCCAGTTGTTACAAATGTTTTTCAAGCATTCCAATGGTTTGTGAGAATGGAAAGGTTCGACCATACACACATGCATTTACAATCATGTTTCCACAAATGTAAATGTACTATGATGTAAATCAATAAATAAAAATGAAAATTTTTAGTTGAAAATCAGGACACTACACTGAGGTTAATAGCTACAACCTTTGCTCGACGAGTCATACTGGGTGACAAACTGTTCTATTATTTTTGGTTCCGACATCGATGAAGCGTGCAAAGTATTTGATATGGTGCTCCCTTGTAGCACCAAGCAGAGGTTTGACCATCATATAGCAACGATTATAGTTTCACGTAGCGCAAAATACACTCTAAGACATACAAACTTGTATGATATACAAATATTTATGTTGTTTATACTTATCATAAACACTTATACCCAGATGGAATGAACTTTTATAGGTATAAACTTATATTATAAGCAAACAATTATACCAAATACATACACTCGTAAGGTAAAACTAACTATAAGTCTGGTAGGTAATTATACACTATATGTTATACTTTTTGGGTTAGAAAAGTATTATACTATATAAGTAATGTATATATATATATATATATATATATATATATATATATATACTCTTCGATCATAAAAAGTATCTTTTTATATAAGATAGAAAGTAACTATATATGTTGTAAAAACATATTTTTGTTATAAAGTTCACCAACTTTATGTTGACGTATTTTCAAAATGAATGTATTCTCAGGAACATAAGAAGCTGACGAGTCACCCTCAAGAATAAGCAGAGAACTGTTTATCAATCATAGTTTTGTTCTTCGTTTTATGTTTATGCCTAACGGTTATGGAACGTAATACATCGAACAACGTAGCTCGTAGCTCCATATTAATAAAAACTTGTATTTTTATAATACATCGAACAATGCATGTTTAATAACTGTGATCCATGAATAAATCGCACAACTCTATATTTCTGTTGTCAGTCACGGTGTGACACTAAGTCCTTTTAAATGTTTCTTTCTATCCCTGTAAATCCTTATTCCAAGAATGTATGTCGCCTCTCTTAGATCCTTCATAGCGAAACATTTCCCAAGCCAAAATTTTACCTTTTGCAAAGTTGGAATATCGTTTTTCTATAAGAAGTATGACGTCAACATATAAAACTAAAAAGGTCACAACACTCCTATTATCTTTGACATACATACATGACTCATCTTCATTTCTAGAATATCCAAATTCTTCGACCCTTTCATGAAAGTAAAGATTCCATCTACAAAATGTTTATTTAATTATATGGATGGACCTCTCAACCGTGCAAACATTATTAGGATGTTTAGCATGTTCAAAACCTTATAGCTGAGTCATACAAACATCTTTAGTGAGCTTCCCATTTAGGAAATCAGTTTTAACATCCATCTGCTATGACTCATAATCATAAAAGGCATCTATGACAAGCATTATCCTAATTAACTTGATCTTAGCTACTGGTGAGAAGATCTCATCATAGTCAATTAATTAGGTTTAAGTATAGCCTTTACCACCAACCTAACTTTGAACGTGTGTACATTCCCTTCCATTTCAATATTCTTCTTGAATATCCATTTAAAAACCATTGTCTTCAAACCGGGTGTATGATCAACCAAATTCCAAACTTGATTATCGTATATGGATTAAATCCCGATATCATTGCCTCTTTCCATTTAGCAGCCTTAGGGTCTGCCATCCATTCTTTATAGCTAGTTGGCTTATCCAAATTTACTAGTGTTATATCACTAATAAACATGTCCTCATCTACAGTTATATGAAACCCATACAACTCGAGTGGCATGGTAACTCTACTAGAATGACAAAGAGAAAGTGATATCTTTCACGATCTTCGAAAAAACCATATCTCTCACATACGAGTTTCATTTTTTAGGTTCTTTATATCCACATATTCGTATTGATGAGTACAATAACTTACTTTTATATCTTAACAACTAATTTCACAATCTATTTTTTATTTTATGGTTTATTAAAGGTTACACCAAGGTTGTAAAATCACTCGACGGTCGACTAGGGTTAAGGGATTACTCGGTATTGGCGAAGATTAATCGGGGACCATATATTATTAATAAGATATTAAGATTACTCAAAAATCAATATATCTTAAGAAAAACAAATACTTCAAAATTAGAAAATAAGAAAATTTGTAATTTGAAAACTTGAAAATACGAAAATATGAACATTTTGGTATAATATTTGAAATTTTGGAGTAAAAAAAATTGATTTTTTGATTTTTTTTTATTATCTTTTTTTGATTTTTTATTTATTTATTATTATTATTATTATTATTATTATTATTATTATTATTATTATTATTTTTACTTTTGTTGACTTTTGTCGACTGATTAATCTCGCCAAGACAGATTAATTCATCCAAACCCGATTAATCCCTAATTTCCGTCAAACACCCATAATCCTAGTCGGTTGGAGAACGACAAGCGGTCAATCCACGATTAATCCCGGTTTCTGCAACCTTGGGTTAAACTATAAAAAACTTTGCAAAATTCATAACTTCTTCATACGACGTATGTTCTCGACATTCTTTATATCAACGGATTCGTATTTACGAGGACATCAAATATCGTTTAGATTGTACTATCTAACAAGTAACCTATTTTCGTTTCGTATTCTGTGACACATACAATTGTACCGCGTCGGACGTGAAACTTCGAAAAAACACAACGTCTTCATACAACGTCAGATTTGAGCATTCACTTGTTCGTAATCACAACTCCTACAACCTTAGTTAAGATTATTTATCCTAAATAATCTTTTATCTACAAACGTTTATTTAACTCAAATTTTTAAGTTTAAAATAAGCTTTTATATATATATATATATATATATATATATATATATATATATATATATATATATATTATATAACATTTGCCCAAGCTTTACTATAATAAATAAATATTTATATTACCCGTAACGTGTATGAAAAACAATTATATTACTCAAGGATTTTATTTATTTAATATAACTTTAATCGCTAAAATGTGTAACGTGAATTCATAGGCGTTATAGTTGTGGATTACAAAAATAGATATCGACTCATTATATACTTATAAAGGAAACATTTTTCCTTTCACCACATTCATTTGAAACTCTCATTCATCTTTTCTTTCACCACATTCATTTGAAACTCCTACGACTTTTCAATATCTTTCTAATAATGATTATAAGTTGGTTAATAATGTTAAATAAATATAAAACCTAAAGTGTAATCATATATAAACTAAATTTCAATATTAAAAGAATATATTTTATTCTACTTATAAAGTTATATGTTTAA